TAATAATAATATGATGCCATCAAGTTGATTCTGACTTCTGGTAGCCCTATCCAGGATTTTCTAGGTAGTGAAAATTCAGAAGTGGTTTACCACTCCCTTCTTCTGGTGGAGCCCTGGGACTGTGCAACTTGCTCATGGCTACACAGGCTGGCTCTTCTCCTGGGATGTACAGTGGTGAACTGGACACCCAGTTTCTGGCTCTGCAGTCAGATACCTAAATCACTGAGCAATTCAGTGAGCTTTAATAGTAATCGTGGGCCATCAAGTTGATTCTGACTTCTGGCAATCCCTTTCAGGGTTTTCCAGGTACAGAAAACTCAGAAGTGGTTTACCCTTCCCTTCTTCTGGGGCCATCCTTGGACTGTACAGCTTGGCCAAAGCCATATAGGCTGGCTCTTCTGGATTGCCCAGTAGGGAACCGAACTCCCAACCTCTGGTCATGCAGCCAGATACCCAAACCATTGAGTTATCCATCCAGCATGCTTTAAATTTAGAAATGTAGATTTCAAAAATGTAAATACAGTATCATTTGTTGTGGAAGGCAGCGATATAAAGTACAAGCTTTTCTTTCCTTATGCAGAGGAAAATCTCTCTTCTGGAGGTGATAATTATATACTGGGAGGCAATCCACCATTGGTGACAAGTGGTGGGAAAACATTCTCTCAATGAAAATAATAGTGACAAAGGGGAGATTTTCTTAAGCTCCACCAGAGAAATAATAGGTGTCATTACTAAATTAGTGAGCCTGCTGTAAGGATAACTAAGCCCAAATGAGTAAGTGTCCAGTGTCCACGAGTCTTGTAGTCAAAACTCAGGCTGGCTAATTCCAGCAGTCAGTATGTAAAATACAGCCTGTTATATTGCATTCCTCCTCTTTGGGTTCCTTATGTTGGAATACCCAGGTTACAATTGTTCCCTTTCATACATCACACAACTCTCTGTATTGAGGCTATTTTGTTATGGGCTGTCAAGTCACATCTCACTCATGGAGAGCTTAATTGAGTTTTGAGGGTATATGAGATGCACCACAAGTGGTTTACCATTACCCAGTGAGCTTCCATTGAGTTGCTGGTTGCCTCCACTTTCTCACTGGTCTCCCTTGTGTGCTAGGGGGGACCCCTTGGGTTAGTGTGCAGCAGCAAAAAAGAGAATTGTTTATTGCTGAGCCAGAGGAAAGATTGCATGGAGTGCAGAGGACAGCAATTGTCAGTCTGCAGTCCTATGCGTATTAACCTGAGAGTATGCCCTACTGAAATAACTATCATTGCAAAGGGTTGCTCTTCTATGATTGGTTTGTGTCTTAGTGCATTAAACCAGTTTCTTACTGAGCTCCTGCTGAATGGAAGTGTCGCTGGCAGAGTAACACAGGGCTGGGCCACTCCTGGGTTGCCACTATGCAACCAAACTAGGCTTTCTTCCTGGAAATCACCACTTGCACAATGGCAATGCCTGAGCATTCAGCCTAGCTCCAAATTACTATTCTGGCAAGATTTTACACTCAGCAGAAGCTCACTAGATAAATCAGATGTGCTGGCTGAGGATGATGGGAATTGCATTGTAAAATACTGGAAGGGCATGAAGTTGGGCAAAGCTGCTATAAGCCACCACCAGGGATTTAGATTTCGTTTCAGTTTGGAAAATCGCCGGTTAATTAGTAGACACTAAATGATGGTGAGTAATAAGATTACACTGGGGTGGCAAACTGTGTGCATGGAAAAAACTGGCTTTCAGTTTAGAACGCTTGCTGCAGTATTAATTTTTGTTTGTAATCATTGTATATGATATAGGGATGTGTATGTGTGTGTCCATGTGAATTCCAGCTGTAGCTGCCTCCTTCACCTCTTCTCCTAGGCAGCAGTGAACTCAGCACATCAGCTATCCCACACACCTAATGTAATTTTGTTTACAAAATGTCTCTGGATCCTAATTTACCTATGCAGTCCAGGATCCATCCAACAGTCCCATCCCCTCCACAAGCCAGAATACGAAAGTCTGGAGCATCGCGGAAAAAATTTAATCTAAGAAAAAGTGGAAGGCAAAGGAAGGACAGCAGGTTAGAACCAGTTCCTTTTCAAATAAGGAAGCATGCTGCTTTTCCAATTTTAAGGTGGTAGCCAAAAGTGAATGTGAAGAGAGGGGTGTTAGCGGTGCAGTTCTTGGGAGTCTTTGTAATGCAGCTTTTGCAAAATCTTAAGTTTACAACAGAATGATTAAGGCTATAATGAGGTTTATTGAACTGGGAACTTATGCAGGGTCCATTCTAAGGGAGTGGTAATAAAAGAATACTTAATGAATATTACTCGGAAATGCAACAACCCAGGAGAAGACCAGTTTTCTGGTTGTTCCTGCTTCTAAAATTTTCCTTTAAACCCTGCAAACGTTGGGGCACAATCAAGCAGTACTTAATTGCAACCTCCCACTAAAGACAGAGAAAATGGCCACAGCTGCAAATAATACTCCCTGGGCTGTACAATTTGTATTATTGTATAATATTCATGCACATTCCTCCACTGCTCTACAGAGGGGTGGTAATGTGTGAACTTTCAACTGTTGCTAGACTGCAACCATCATCTTTCACTAACTCTGGAGGGGGCTGATGGGAACCGCAGTCCAACAAGATCCAGAGAACCACATGTCCTCAATCCCTGGTCAGTAGAGAGCTACGTATAACCCAAAGTTGATTGCAGTAAGACAGACACATCCAACATGACAAATTCCAAGCACTGGCTGCATACATACTTTTAAGAACTGGCAGCAGACTGAGTTTGTTAGTGTAAGGCGTGTTAATAAGTCTCTGTGGAGAGGGAGGTGGAAAGGGAAACAGTAGAGAGAAGGCAGAGAAGGAGGAGGAAAAGAAGCCAGAGCAAAGCTCATTTTGGAAAAGGACAGACTATTAGATCAAAGGAAAAACAAAGGGAAAAGGCTGGTAAGAAGAAGATCCAGAGCCTGTGCATCTGAGCCAGGAATTTCATTACCCAGGAATGGGTCCTCCTCGGTCCAGGTTGTAAACCTGTCTGGGGTTCAGTAGGTAATGGAATTTACGATGAACCCTAAAAAGAGTAAGAAAAATAAGAAGTAATGCTGGGCCCAACAAGAAACACAAGGCAGGTGGTTGGTTAATTTTTTTGGCAGGACCCACCTACTTCATCCCCTCTTCACATATTATTTATATTATTTTATTTATTACATTTATAGCCTGCCCATCTAGTCATATAGACTACTCTGGGTGGCTAACAACATAACATATAACAATTTACAGTTTAAAATGACAATATATCACATATGGCAGCTCCTTGTACACAGACAATGTTGTTTGCCAGAAGGAAAAAAATGGTTGACTGATTTTCCCACAAAATGTGTACATTGGTGCATGAATTCTTTGGTAAGCACCTCTGGTCTGAAGACTTACTGGTTCCTTCTACAGAAGGTCATGTTCAGGATACAGTGGTACCTCACTAGACCTCGTAAAACGATGAATCCGCATGACGATGAGGTTTTGCGATCACTATAGTGATTCACAAAACAGTCATTCCAATGGGGGATTTTCACTGGACAATGATTTGGTCTGTGCTTTGCGGACCGTTTGTTCACAAGACGACGATTTTTATAGCTGATTAGTGCCTTGCAAAATGGCTTCCCTGTGTTTTTGGGACTCATGCTTTGCAGGACAGCCATTTTAACAGCTGATCGGCGCTCACAAAATGGCTTCCCTATGGGCGATCTTCACAGGACGACAAGGTATTTTCCCCATTGGAATGCATTAAACAGGTTTCAATGCATTCCAATGGGAAACGGATATCGCATGACGATGATTTTGCTAAACAGCGATTTCTATGGAACGGATTATCATCGTCATGTGGGGCACCAATGTATTTCAAAAAACTCAAGCCCACATGTGATGTGACATATTGTCATGTGGTTTCCTAAGCCAGATCAGGAATAGTGTATGTTGGAAGTGGGGCTAGAACCTTTTGTTCTCAGTGCTGTCTCTATCAGTGTTGTCTTCCAATTAGAATGGAAGTCACATCCAATTCTGATTAGGACTGTACCAGGAACAAATGGATTAAGCCTCCTTTGCATGAACCGCAGCCCTGTTCTGGCTCAGGTGCTCCTATAATGGCTATGTGGGAAAGAAAAAAATTGTTACACAGGAGCAAACCACATGACAATTATTGCATCTACTTTGGCCTACAAGATGCCTCCCAGTGGATGCTTACTACTTTAAAAAGGCCAAGTCTTCCTCCCTATGTTAAGACCTCCCCTGCAGCATTTATTTCATAAGAACTTTGAGATATAATAGTCCTTCCCAAAGTACTGACAATGTCACACATTCTACAAATAACATGTTATTTCAATTTGAATATGGAAAAATATGTGATCTCTTTGCTGCAGAATCGTTTTCCCCAGGGAAGATATTTAGATTATCTACAGTTATTGATGGAGGTGCATTTACTGCACCCAAACTTGTCACATAGGAAGATATGGTTTTTCTACCAAAAGAGGGAAAACCTACCTTTCTCCTTGTCTCCCTCCACTCTTGGGGTTCACAAACACCAACAGTGGATGTGTTCCAGGATTAGGGGTGATCTGAAAAGCAAACTTCAAATCAAACAAGGAACCTCCTTGTACAGCATACAAAACACCATTCATGCAGTGTGGGGGAGAATGAGTCATGCGGCACAGTGACAGAGGAAGCAAGACAAGCAACTGGCAAAGTGTTGGTTCAGTAGAATTGACTGCAGCAGAGAACATCAGGGATCACAAACCTGGACACCTATTCTAATCCAAACCCATTATGCACTATGCCCTCCAGTGTAAGGCCACCTGTGTGCTTGATGCTATTTAACAGATACTTCCTTTGACAGAGGAACGTCTGCCTCTGCCTATGTTCCATCACATCTTTCCTAATACTTTTCAGATAGCACATTTTTAAAAGACATTACCAGGGCTGGACCAAGACATTCTGTTGCCTGAAATGGATCAGTGTGGTACTGTCTTCTGGCACATGAAGCAGATGATCTAACAAACACCTCTCCCCAGTGCTAGCAGTATAAATACAATGCAACAACAATACATTAAACAAGAAACAGTGCACTACCCAAAATCTGTTGCCTTAGGCAGCTTCTTCACCCTGTTAATGGCAGATCAGGCCCTGGACATATTAACCAAGAAAAAAAAATCTACAAATGTTGGTTCTGTGACATAGGCACATTTTTTGCCTTTAAAAGGAAGACTAAGGAAGAGGAATAATTACTAATTTTGCAGAGGCAGTTTGTACAAATTATAGAAAAACAAACGAGGGGGGGGGAAGCACCTCTTTCTCTCTCTCATCTGGAAGCAAGGAATCTCACAAGCCTTGTGCCTCAAAAAGGTGTCTTATTTATTAGCTTCTAACAAGAAAAAAGAAAAATCAAGTCAAGAGAGTCTAAACTGGTGAGAATAAAGAATTCTCTACATTGTTAATTCACAGACTGTTATGTTCTTCCTGTCATGTTTTTCTCCACGGGTGACTTGACATTTTGGTCTGATGAACGAGCAACTGGAACAGTAACTTCTTTGAACTATACCTCCCAGAATCCACTAGATAGCCACTTGCAAAAAGTAACTAACATTCTGAAGCCTCATGGTGAACTCATACATACAGATGGCCATGTACAGCACCTCTGTGAGAAACAAACAGCCACGGCTTGCCTACCTGCAGCCCATGTCCATCTATGGTGGTGGTATTGTATCTGAAGGTCAGGTTTGTGTCATCTGGGGTAGTGCTGGATGGTGATTCACTGTCTGATCTTCTTGGGTGGGATTGTCTATCCTTTGGAAGAGGGGAGAAATGCATAAATACCTCAAAGTATGGATGCATGCCAGCAAATAACAAGGAATGACAGTATAAACAAAGGGGAAATCCCTATGTGCACTAATTTAGAATAGAAAGACCAAAGAACACAAAGCGTTACTAACATGTAAAAAAAATCTGTGTTAAAATGCTATCTAACAAACAACACAGAACAGCTACTTAGATAAACCACTGGCAATACATTTCATAAACTGCAAATAATCCCTGTTGATATAATGGTTGTGCAATGAATGGTATTGAAGTCTTGATTTAACCACTCCAAAAGTGGCTTAAAGTTGTGTAAACAAGGATGGCTCCAAAGTTCAATACTTGATTTGCTTCCCAGGTTGATGCTGTTCCAAGATTTACATTAACTCCAAAGTTCCACAACCTCTGCAGCTGAAAAAACTATCTTGAGGGGCCCACACACATATAACAGATCTTCTTAATCATGGGTTTTTAACACACCTATGCAGTATTTGTAACATTGAAAGATACTGAAAAGTTAATGGATTCAAATATTTAGATTAGAATCAGAATCCTGCAACAAAATGGGGTAATATAGTCTTACTGAAGCAACCAACATGAATTTGACACAACTCCGGGAGGCAGTGGAAAATAGGAGGCCCTGGCGTGTTCTGGTCGGACACGACTAAACGCCGACGATTCTTGCTGAACCTATGTTATCTGATTCTGCCATGGGAGCAGGGGGGTTAAAACCTAAAAGTTATCCTAAAGACAGGAGCCCCCTGTTCTGACTTGGCTCTTTGTTTATATTAATTTAGAAAAATAGTAGCCCCTCACCCTGGTGAGAGACAGAACAGTGGACAGCAAGCCTGCTGAATATCAAGGTTACTGTCACCTTCCACCTGCAACAATGCAATGGCAGAATCATGGTATACCAGGAATTGTGACATTGTCACCTTCCAGATGTTGTAGGATTGCAATTCTCATTATCCTGCACCGCTGGCTGTTCTGGATAGTGATAGTGGGAGCCAACATCTGGATGGGAACAAACTGCCACCACTTTATTCTCATTCTTTCAACATAAGAGGCATTTACATGCATTGTGGTATTTTTGACAGTTTTGAAGAAGCAGTCTGTGCAGACATATCAGGCAAAAAAAAAAAAAACCCTAACAAAAAACAAGGGACAAGAATGCTGAGGCATCTTAAAGACTAGCTGTATTTTAACATGAATCTGTGCAGACATATCAGGCAAAAAAAAAACGTAACAAAAAACAAGAGACAAGAATGTTGAGACATCTTAAAGATTAGCTGTATTTTAACATGAATTACAGGGGCTGCATCGTCCATTCCACGAGATGGTTGGACATCTAAATTTTGCCTGCAAGGTTGTGGTGCCAGGTCACGCCTTCCTGCGTCGGTTCAGTAGTGCAATGCAGGGGCTGCGTTCCACAGGACCAGGATTATGTTTGATATAAGGGAGGACCTGGAAGTTTGGAGGCAGTTTTTGGAAGATTTTAATGGCATTCCCTTTTGGAGAGGTCAGAGAGTGCTTGGGGCTGACTTTCAGGTCCAGTCGGACGCTGCAGGCTCCTCGGGTTTCAGTATTTATTTTAGAGGATGATGGTGCACCGGCAAGTGGCCAGAGGAATGGCACCGAGCTGGTATCACCAGAGATCTCACATTCTTAGAGTTTTTTTCCTGTAGTCAGTACTTTATGGCTTTGGGCAGGAGAATAGGCCAATTTGGTGGTATGCTTCTGGTGTGATAACCAGGCGGTGATCCATATTATTAACAACCTCATGTCCCAGTCAGAGAGGGCCATGGCCTTGGTTAGGGCATTCACATTACGTGCCCTGAAATTTAATGTTTTGGTACAGGCCAGACATGTACCCGGAGCTGACAATAGCTTAGCTGATGCCTTATCACACCAACAGATCGAGCGGTTAAGAGAGCTAGATCCAGGAGCCGACGAGTTCCTGGAGACTCTTCCCTCAGAGGTCTGGCAAATTGCTGTGAGGATGCAGAAAGGGCAAAAGGTCTGGCGCCGAGGATGAGGAAGGGATATCATACAGTGAGTATGGACTTCCAGAAATTTAGAGAATTCGTGGGCCTGGATCCTCTGTGGCCAGTCCCAGTTGACCACTTTCAGCAGTTTATAGTGCATTTACATAGGCAGGGATTAGCACCAGGAACCATACAGGGCAAGTTGTTGGCGCTGGCTTTTCATGCAAAGATTAGCGGTCACCGAGACTATTCGTTGGACTACTGTATTAGGAAAATGGTTGAAGGGTCCAAGGAAAGAGGTAAAGTTAAAGACTCCAGAGCTCCCAAATCACCAGAGCTTTTGGAAGGTATTTGTAGGCAATGGGAGGTTCTTTGTAGGGATGAGTTTGAATTTGCTTCATTCAAGGCAGCGTCTTTGTTAACATTTTTTGGCGCCCTTAGGATTAGCAAAGCAGTTGCCTCAGAAAGGGGGGGGGGACAGAACTAAGGTAACTCTACAAATATAAGATATTAAGGTAGTGGAGGGGACAGTGCAGCTCCACATACATCGATCCAAAGTCAATCAGTGGAGAAAAGGATCGGGTATTACTATGTCATGTTGTCACATCACAGCAATCTGTCCTGTCCAGGCAATGGAAACATATCTAAAAATTAGGGGATTGAACCCAGGATACCTTTTTATGCATAAGGATGATTCCCCTTTGATGAAGTACCAATTCTGGAAGTTAACAGATTTGGCCCTTCAAAGGGAAGGAGTTCAAGGTTTTAGTTTCGGTACGCGTTCCTTCAGAATTGGTGCGGCATCCATGGCGGCAGACCTTGGTTACCACCCAAAGGATATCAAACAGTTAGGATGATGGGCTTTGTCCTCTTATCATAGGTATGTTAGGGCACTTCCTAATGTCTAGGCAGGGACCTATTTTGGTATCTTGCAGGTACTACAGTGGTGGCCAGGAGAAGACACATCATGATCGTGGGCCACAGCTATGTATTTTGGACAGCATGCTGCACTGCCACATCCCCATGGAGGAGCAACCTTGGCCTTGACGCACAGGCCCATATTGAACGGAGAGGGCGCTGTGGAATGCTGTGGGTCCAGCTGTGTTGAGTGGCCGCTTTTGGGCACCACCCACCAGAAGTGTTGGTTATACACCTGGGTGGCAACGATTTGGCGCAACATTGTGGAAAGGCCCTGCTCATCGATATGATTCGTGACCTCACTTGGTTGAGGGTCACATATCCTGCCATGGAGATGGTTTGGTCGACAATCATCCCTCGGCTGTCATGGAGGGATGCCAGAAATGTTTTACCCGTAAACATTGCCTGACGGAGTGTTAACACAGAAGTCTGCAGAGCTGTTTGCAGAGGCCTAGAACTGGTCACCAGAGGATCCACTTGGACAGGCCAGAGGTTTTTTTTGGTCAGATGGTGTACATCTTTCTGAATGAGGTTTGGATGTCTTCCTTGAAGACATCAAGGGGGGGGCTGCTTTTGGAGCTGGATCAGCTTGTTGGTGGGCATGGGACCTAGCATGGCTAGTCCCTATGTTGTAGCAGTTAGTGCTGATTAAACAGGTAGTTTGGTGAGTCCCAGAGCAAGAGCAGGTAATTATAGCTCATCTGAACTCCCAGCACTGTGGATCGTGCGATTACAGTGCTGGGGGGGGATGCGCTGGTGATACACACGGACCAACAGTCAACAAGGAGAGAGTGGCTCGAGGTCCGGGGTGGTCAAATTTGGGATGGCAGAGTTTCTCACTGTCTTCATGGCTGGGAGAACTTGGGCCAGGGACTCGCACATGGGTTGATTAGAAGGGTCCGTTTAGACCTACATCTTTGAAACCTGAATCCACACTACGGCAGGACCCCCCCCCCTTCGCCAAAGGATTGGCAACAATGATTATATTCAATAAAGTGTGGCCCATGTTTAATCCATATTTCTGGTCTCACGTGTTTATTCCGGGATAAGGGGGCGGAGAGCCTTATGGTGCAGTGGTTAAACTGCAATATTGTAGTAAAGACTCTGCTTGTAACCTGAGTTTGATCTCAGGCACAGATAGCCAGCTTGACTCAACCTTCAGAGACTGGGAAACTGACTACCCAGAGAGCTGGCGATCCAGAGAGAGCTTTAAGCACTATGGGGTGGTATACGTATAAGCAGCACACTTTTGCTTCGCTTTGCATTACAAAGCAGGCTGAAGGACCTTTAAAATGTTATCTGAAAAGAAAATAATGAAAACTACTTCTAAAATAAGTTCCAAATGAAAATAAAGTTCTAAAATAAAATTGGTTTCAGGAACTCAGAAAGTCTTTTTTCAGAAAATGATGTATGCTATCCTGTCTATCAACTTTCTATAGACCTAGAGCCTTATTAGTATGTCTTGGTTTCTTCCTAAGGTAAATGGAGAAGTAAATCTAAAATAGGAGGACACAGTTGCTCACATAATACTTCACTACTCATTGCACAACTTTCCCATTTTGAGTCACTTTATTTTTAGCAACTGTCCCATCCTCTGCCCACCCTCCCCCCATAAAGCCTACAATAATTTACAAATGGATATTTAACTGGAACAAGTGGCAAGATTTTTCTCTTATGAACGCCCCCAACTAAATACTGGCAAGCAGATAACTTAAATGCAACAACCACATGAAGAAGGCAGGAGATATGAGGGAGGCATGTGAAACTGACTTGTACCAGTTGCAAACATTTTTATCTAGTCCCTAGACCCTCTAGTGGCTCTCCAGGAAACAGCCTCAGTATTAAGTTAACAAAATAAGAGATCAGTATGAAAATGTTAAAATAAAAAGCATATGGATTAGAGAAAGCACTGTCTAGATGTCTTGATAAGCAAGTCAGAAGAACAAGAGTCACTTAGCCCATTTCATAGATGTTACGTAGATTCGTTTTACCAGAACTACTGGGCAGATGTGGGTAGGTAGGAGGATGTGGTCCTTGAGGTGCCCACCATCACAGTCTGGTTTCATGTGAGAGGCACATTTGTTGTGAAGCTGCAAGAGAAAGAAAGACAAGTCTAATCATCATAGCTATACAATCATCTCAGGACTTGGGGCTACAACTCAAGCATCCACACCTGGGATGGGGATTCTGGTCACAGAAGTAGAAAGAGAAGGAGGAGAGGAAGAAGAAATATTTCCAAGAGAAGAGTATCCTAGTTATAGATTTACAAGTTTTTCCTTCATCATGGACAGGAAACATAAGGAGCATTGCTTTGAAATTGGATTATTTTGCCTGGCCAAGAATCTTGTTTGGTCATGAAACCGTTGGTCCCCTTCCTTGCCCCAGAAAAGCATTCACTTCCCACTTGGATAGTTTTTTACTTATCATAACAGTCTGCCATGGATGGCGAGAGGTTCAAGATTGTTTTTTTCTGATAGTTATTATTGGAGTGGAAGACTAAAGTTTCCAAGTGCTGTTACCTCACGGAAGGAAGGAAGGAAGGAAGGAAGGAAGGAAGGAAACTTCTTTAGTGTCAACCTAAGTGTTATTTGGAAGAAGAGGATAAAAAAATTAGGAAGGAAGGAAGGAAGGAAGGCAACTTCTTTAGTGTCAACCTAAGAAGAGGATAAAAAAAATAATTAAGTGAAACCAACACAATTCTGTTCTCCTATAAATCAGTTCAGCATTGTACTAATTATCTGGAGACAAAATCCCTTTGCTTGTGCTTGGCATTTTACTCCATGGTGATACAGTACTACTAAATGACTCATCAGCTCTCACACAATAGGAATAAAATGGCTCCAGGAATGACGAAGCAAGATGTTCTGCATGCCTTCTTTTTGATAACCCAGTAGGGCTTATGGAAAGTCAATTGAAAGTGACTATGGTGACATCCTATCATCAGATTCCGGGTGAGCTTTTTGAGGAAGCCAGTCTTGTAGTTATGTGCCTTTCTGCCTATATATATTTCCCCACACCATGTTAGAAGAAGAACTTTGAATTGTTTCTTTTCTGGCCAATAAACTCCCATAATCCCCCAGAGTTCCTTTCCAAAAATGGTATTTCCCCCAGCTCTATTCAGCAGAAATGTCATAAAGTGATGGTTCCCAACCCTGGGTCACCAGATGTTCTTGGAGTAAAACTCCCAGAAGTCTTCAACACTAGCAGTGCTGGCCAGGATTTCTTTCTTGGAGTTATAGTCCAAGAACATCTGGGGACCCAAGGTTCGGAACCACTGTTGTAAAGGAATTGATCAATGATTGCATGGGTCCATCAAATGGCAGATACCTTCTGTACTTGATCCTGTGCTCATGATCTCTAACCAGACCTATCAGTGTTCCATAGATTCTAACCAGCACTTTATAATTATCTTAGAACTGCAGAGCTTGAAAGGACCCCATTTAGTCCAGCCCCTGTTGAGGAGGCCCAGTGGGGAATCAAACTCCCAGCCTCTGGTTCCACAGCCAAATGACCAAGCCACTGAGCTATCCAGCAGTTGCTATGGCTATTTTCATGAATGGGAGAGGAAACAAGCAATTATTTGGCACTGTTTATTTATTTTTTATTCACATTGCACCCTAGGTTTTATCAGCATTGATAAGACTTAGCCTGCTGATATAAGGTGACTCAAATGAACAGTTTGGCCTTCTGCTATCGCTATCGAATTAGCACTACACACTTTCCACATACTCACTGTGATTTGGCACCATACACAATGTAGTCCAGTAATGCCCTGGTAGCATTTGATGCTTTTATGACACCGATCACATTTAGCTGGGGAGTTCCCTTCAATCCATGTGTGCTGCATAACCTAGAAATGAATGAGAAATGGCAATCCACACTAGAAAAGAAATTAAATTCTAAACAAAGCCACAAAGCAGAAAGGAGAAGTATATTCACTGAAATGTTTTCAGGATATTCTTAGAAGTCTGGGATAAATGGAGAACTAGGTAAATTTGGGAAAGTACCAGCAATATAGCCACCTTGGGTTTAGGTATGAGCTTTGCCTGGATATACACATAATGATATATACGGGCACCATTAAATTGCTGCCTTTGAACTTTCCAGTGGTAAAGGTTTACTGCAGATCAAAAAGGGTGATTGGCTTAAGATTCCAGATAAACATTTTAGCCATAATACCATAATGATCTGCTCATAGTTCATGCATCCTTGAAAACACATATTGAGCAGCATTGCATGCACATGTCCCCGTACATCCCAAATCACCACTTCTTGCCAACTGTCTGCCTGTGTCCTGTTCTCTATAGGCCAGAGTCTGCCTTGCCTTAACCTGTGATTTAGTATAGCTGCTGCTTTGAACAATTTTTAAAATGCATTGCTTAGGGTCTGGGTACCAATACACATCCTAAGCAATACATTCAAATGCAGACGTCAGTTTATCTGGATATTACTTTCTTCACTTATAGCTCCCAGAACCCCTTAGGCTGATTTGGAGGATTCTGGGGATTGTAGCCCAAACAGCAACTTTTCTCAGCTATGATCCAGAGTCTACTCTAGTGACATGACAAATGCCCATTCTGTGGTGGCGCAGTGGTTAAACTGCTGTACTGCAACTAAAACTGTGCTCACGACCTGGAGTTCAATCCTATGTAGCTGGCTCAAGGTTGACTCAGCCTTCTGTCCTTCCGAGGTTGGTAAAATGAGTATCCAGCTCACTGGGGGTGGGGTGGGCAATGTCTAGCCTGTGTAATTAATTTGTAAACTGCCCAGAGAGTGCTCGAAGCACTATGGAGTGGTATATAAGCATCACACTTTGCTTTTTGCTATGGTGGGAAAGATGTTGTCATTCAGAGTTTGGAGGAGCTGAAGCAAAGAAATACAGTCTTCTGCCAGAGACTGGCCCCATGATGTTTCTTCTTGCATAGTGTTCTCTGGATATGTAGCCATCATATCAGAAATGAGCCAACCTAATGAGATGGTTGCTTCCATGCATAGTACCTTTCGGTGCTACGGTAGTGTCACTACAACTGAATGGACAATATGCTCTACATTATAATTTTTTTCCACATGCACTATTAATTCATATATGCCTCACTTACATTTGTATTTCTCTTTGATTTCACATAAGTGTTGATGCAAGGGGCAATGTCTTTAGATACACATCTTTCATGGACTGTGTATTTACAAACTGTAGGAGAAAGAGAGAGAGAGAAAGAGTGATACAGGAATTCTAAGTCTATCCTATGTTCAGGACAAATAGTTTTCAGCTATTTAGCAAGACTATTATGCTTATATTACATGAATATGTTCCAGAATGTATATAAAAATGTATTTCCCAGTGTGTGATCAACTATTTTAATCCATTGTTCTTGTCACAGTCAGCCAATGAAGTCAAAGCAGAACTGAATCACAGACTTACTAGTTACCCTTCCCTTGTCATGTCCTCATTCTCAGTGTCCCATGTCCAAACATCTACATGTGAGTGCACCCTACTGAATCCAGTAGGACTTGCTTCTGCACAGATCAGACACACAAAAATTGTATTTTAAACCTCTTCAGAAAGTCTGAAATAACCACATGATGTTTAACACCATAATGAGCAGACTTGTGCAGTACATCAAAAAAGCAAACATTCAGAAGCTACATAAAAAAATACATTAATGAGAACTGAAATTTCCCCCACCCCCAAATATAAAATCAGTTAACAACAAGAAATGGTGCCAGAACCTGGGAGGGATGTATCAAGGTGCACTGTAATTATGCACATTTGCTATTCAATACAGTTTGGGATGAGAATTTCTGGGGGGACATTTATTTTGGTGAGCCCCTTTAAAGATTAAAACATACAATTAAAACCTTGCTACACTTATCTGCTGGATTACTCTCCACAAGAGGCCAGGCCATCTTGTCTCTTGCTCAGAAGCTTAGAACTCTGCCCTGTCCTGTTCCATCAGGAATTCTACCTTCTAAAGAAATGGTGAGGCAACTCTGGCAAAGAAACTGACTGATGAAGATAAGGGCCAAAATTGAATTGGTAGTCTTAAATAGAATTAACTAATTGAATCAATGCACATTGTAAAACTGACATACCCCTTGGCAATTTATTCAGTGGGTGTACTGTGCTTGAGATTAGCAGTTGATGTTAGATCCTAGAACAGAGCTGACTCAGAGATGGAGTTCTGGTCAATGCTATAGATACTCTCATAGAGATGTTCTTGACTTGGTCTCAGTAGAATTCCTAGGAATCCTGCCACTAAGGTAAGGAACAAATTACCTCTGCATGAGCTTGGAGCAACTGCTGGGTTTTACAGTCTAGCTGAAAGAGTCCTGAAATTTTCACACCTTCAAATGCTACATTGATGCTTAAGGGGATGGAATCCTTTTCTGTAGCTGTTGGTGTCTTCAGGGACTCAGTCCCTGAGGAATAAGAATCTGAAAACTATTCCCCAGGACTTCCCTGCCTACTGGAGTTCTGCCCCTTAGACTTGGAAGGTAGCAACACCTCCCAACATATACAGAAAACAAAACAATGGTCATAGATTGACAATGTTCAATATATATTCCAGTCCTAAAAAAAAGAGGTACAAAACTATAGGATCATAGCATTAATTTCCAATCCAAGCAGAGTGATGCTCAAGCTTTCGCATACACGGAACAAAAAATGCTAGATTCAGAAGTAGTAGAGCTCATATTGAAATACTGTATATATTTGCTACTGAAGTGTACCAAAGAAGTTTAGTAAAAAATCAGTTTATGCGTTATAGATTTATAAATTACAGTAAAGCTTTTGATGGTATGGATTATGAAAATGTATGGATTGTTCTGCAAGAAATGGGTGTGCCACAACATCTAATTGTCCTGATGCCTAATCTATACTCTGGCCAAGAGTCTACAGTTATAACAGAATATGGAGAAACACAATGTTTTCATACAGTATTGTTGAATGTGTCAGACAAGGGTATATTTTTATCTATCTGTTCAACATCTATGCAGAATATACCATAAAAGAGCAAGCTTAGATTCAAATGAAGGAAGAGTATAAACTAGTGAATATCAAAAATTCATGTTATGTAGATGATACCATATTACTGGCAGCAAATAGCAATGGCTTGAAATGACTGCCAATAAACTAGTGAATATCAAAAATTCATGTTCTGTAGATATTACTGGCAGAAAATAGCAATGACTTGAAATGACTGCCGAGGAAACAAATTGATGGGCTCTTGAAACATGAAATCAACATGTAGCTCGGTTTAACATGGCATTCTGGTAGTACATATATCTGGCATGGTAAGACACTTACAGGAACAGCACAGGCCTTGTTTCCTGACCCCCAACAACATAGTGCGACAAAAGTTGCAATAGGCGGGCTTCTTGAAGTGTTTAAGCCTCCAGGCATGCTGCCCATCATCCTTCACATTCTGTAGAGAAAGAAAGAAGACAACTAAGACATAGTCAAAGGAGACAGAGACAAGGCATTTCACACTAAACACAGAAGGGACTAGAGCATTGTCAGAAAAATCTTCCTAGAATCCTCCAGCCTGAATGGTCGCTGGTGCCATAGTACCAAAAATAAATTTTCCAGGTTCTATGATATACTGCTCATTCTCCTGTCCTGGATTAATCTGGTTACTATCTGATGGCACAAGGAAACAAGAGCATCAGATTATTAAGATTAGCTGGTGATTACAGTGCATTCAGCTGCCAAAACTGACTCACAGGATTAATGGACTGAAGTGTTTGTTTGTTTATTTATTTCCCGCCCATCTAGACCGAAGTCTATACTGGGTGGCTAACAATAATAGACAGAATAAAAACAATATAATAAAATAGAAAAACCCAGCAGTAGTAATATAGTTCAAGATGGGAAAAATATTCAAGTGATGATAGGAGGGAAAGCCTGCCTAATAAGACAGGTCATATCTTTGCTCTTAAAAACACCCAGCAAGGGAGCCAGACAGATCTCTGGGGGCAGACTGTTCCAAAGGCGAGGGGCCACTGCCAAGAAGGCCCAGTTTCTTGTTCTTTCTCTCCGGGCCTCCCTCAGCGTTAGGCCCCTCAGCCACCCTTGCCAGCTAGAACGAGTGATTCAGGTAGATCTAGAGTAAATACCACTTATTGTTGGTGTCCCAGAGTATTACTTTTCTCAGGAACTGAAATTAGTGTGTGAATGTTCGAGGGGTGAATGTTAAGGAACAGAACTGTAAATTGGACCTGGGATGTAAGTCATCACAACAAAGAGTTAAGGATAGTTTATAATGGTGACCATTACATTAGATTTAAGTTTTAAAAAAACTATACTTGTATCTTCCACGTTTTCTTGTTGGAATTTTGCCAAATGTTGTTAAAGAACATTTGGAATGCTGTATAGAAAATGGTCCAATTTGCTAACTTTCTTTTTAGTTGTTGTGAATCTGGCTTTTGGAGTTCTGGTGCCCTCACATGGCATTATCTTTGAAAGATGCTGTATAAAACACTGCTTTTATGTACTATTCTATCATTAATCTTAATATTGCTCTTATACAAATGCTGTTCAATGGTGCTTGCATACAAAATACTCTGAGAAATGACATCTATAATATGTTGAGTCCTGTGGTTTTTTTTTTTTCAGGGTCAGCTCCGATAACACCATTTCATTGTCATTTATTTGTTTGAAAAACAATAATTTCCCTGCATCATTTACCTAGCAGATAGCATGCATTTTGTGTGAACAATAAAGAGTCATGATGAACAATGATATTTATAGCAAAAATGAAAGAAGGAAAAGGAGAGATCAAGGGGGAACAGAAAGGATCCTGGTATGTGTGAGTGATGGTAAATATTAACATTGCTGTAACAATTTAGAATAATGATGTTGACATTCACCAGAACGCCTTGCAAAGTGTCTTTCTCTACATGTATTCAGCTGGTCCTCTGCGCTGCCTCTGAGTGGGCTGGAAGGGATGAGGCACCACTGCCTCTGAGTGGGCACCCACTGGAAGGGATGAGGCACCGAACTGTAGATCAGCCGTTTGGCCAGGAAATGAACCATGCCGAATCGCCAAACCAGTGGTTTGTGCCCACCTATAAATTCTATCACATTACCTGATCGCAAAGGAAGTCCTTCTCAGAATGGTACTGCTCCTCTGGGACAGTCTCCCTTCTGTGGTCCCAGTGGTGAGAATTGTGTTCTGCTGCAAACACTAGAGAAAACTATACTGGTTCCTTGTTCTCCAAGTGAGGATGATCGTTCTCTCTCTCTCTCTTGCTATTGGGTTTCTCTTGTTGCAATTAACAGTTCTAAATTTCTTTAAAATGGTTACTGTATATATTGTTTTACTATTGCATTAGATGCACAATTTAATGCAACCTGCTCCAAGATCTTACTGTTGTAAACAAACAAACAAACAACAAACAGACTGACACTTCTCCTCCAATTTCTGTCTTTCAATCAATCTTTTATTTTACCCAAGGAGCTTGGGGACCATTTTCTCACTCATGGCTTTTTATGAATATATGAAGCTGCTTATACAAAGTCAAGCTCTTGTTTTGCCCGCATAGCAGCTCTGCAAGTTTTCAGACAGGGGTCTTTTGCAACATGTGCTAATTGGATGCTCTGGATGAAATCTGCATGGCCTTCTAGCACTGACCAATAATAGTTGAGCCCCTCTCTATGTGTTTATATTTTAAATACAGGCAATCCTTGAAAATACTCATATTTGAAATCCCAGACTACTATTAAATATTGACCCAAAAGCGCAAATAGCATAAAATTGGATTATTGCATTGCAAAGACTAGGGATGTCTTTGCCAGCTTCTAACTTCACATTGGAATATCTTTTGAAAAAAGTGCCTACATTGACTTATCTTTTTTGAAATCAGGTTTGCTACTCACTGTTTCCATGCCCAGAAGAACCAGCAGAGGGATGGTGGTCATGCCACCTCGAATCCATTCTTCCAGTGTCACCGTTCCATCATGATCGTAGTCTATTTCTTCCATCATCTCTTTCAAGATCTGCAGTTAGACATTTAATCTAATTTAATTTAATCTGGTTAGTAATTCATGTTCTCTATCAATCTGTAAAACAACAGCTTTTTCATTGTTACTGTACATGCACTATGTAGCAAACCTTGTACAAAGGCGAGTTACATGGGGTCCATCCCAGGTTGTAACCCTGTTACCATGAACAATAAAAATGAAGTTAATCATAGATCATGCCTTAAACAACTAAGACTGTTTATTACAATAAGATCACACCTTAAGTGACATATGTTTGTCTCTGTGTACAGTCAACCAGTCTGATCATGTGAGATTTTATTGGAGACAATCAGAAGTAGTATTCCAACCTAACAAGCAGGATGCTGAACTGGCCTCTGGAACTGGGCCGCGGACATGGGTCTCCGTCCCCCCACCCCGCCCAGGTTGTGTCGCACTTGCAGAGGGGCATGCCGTGCTAGTGCTAAACCCTCCCCCAGCACCCCTCACAGGAGAGCAGTGCCCCTTCCCTGCGCGGAAGCCGCAGTGGGGCAGCCTACCTGGGAAGCACTGATGGCTGGCCACTGGGCTCGGCACCACCCCAACCCAGGGCGAGCATAGGCCCTTTTCTATACAGTGTGTTGAGACCAGTCAATTTTTTTAAATTTTTTTTTATCCTGCCTTTCTCCTTAAAAAGAATCCAAGGCAGCTTACATCATTAGAAAGACAACAATTAAAAGCTAAAAATAGTAGGTATACAAATATTAAAAAAGAATTAAACAAGTATTATTTTAAAAGTGGTAATAAAACCAATACTAATACATGTTTGAAACAAGAGAACACAACAATACATTAAAAAAAAACCCCTCTCAGACCACTAGTTGTTAAGGGAAAGCCTGCCTGAAGAGAAAGGTTTTTGCCTGCTTGTTGAAGGACAATAAAGATGGGGCCGGCCTAGCTTTCCTTGGGAAGCAATTCTAGAGCCTGGGAGCAGCAACTGAGAAGACCCTCTCCTGTATCCCCACCAAGTGCACCTGTGAGGGTGGTGGGACCAAGAGAAAGGTCTCTCCTGATTATCTTGAAGCCTGGGCAGGCTCATAAAGGGGGATGCAGTCTTTTAGATAATTTGGACCCAAGCCATTTAGGGTTTTACAGATTAAAACCTATAAAGGTTGAATTGTGCCTGGAAACAGATAGGACTATTAGTGTTTCCTCATGTGACTTTTTTCTCAAGGATTATAAATTCCAGATTTCCTTGTCCATATGCAGAAGAGACAGTCAAAGCAATGTAATAATCAGAGATATTGATCTCAGGAACATTGATCCCAGGGCCAATGGCACCAGTGCAAATGTTATTGGTATATTTGCAGTTTACATTTAACAAAAATATATCAGTAAAAGTCTAGGTTACATCCTCTCACACACCTCATACTGCATATTTGGTTAGTTACAAACAGAAATCATGAGACCGTAAACAAAAGATGAACTTAGGGTATGTTGTGGATCTTTATGGTCAAGAGAGGCCTTTATGGCCAGTTTGTAGTGGGCTATCAAAATGACATTTGGGCACTTGGAGAATAAGAGAGATTGATAATTTAAAGAACATAAATCACTATGGTGTGTGTTCTGAATTTCTAACTCAGTCAGATGGTCCCTAAGCACATCACCTCCTCTACCAACAACACTCCAAATAGAGGTAGATTAGGTTGTGTGGATTAACAATAATCTCTAGATTGCCATTCCAGCCCAGTCTGAATACAATCATCTGAAATAATGGCCTAAATGCTGTCATCTGATTTCCCACATTTCAGTCAACACACACAAGCTTTGAGAAGTCATCAGACAAAATCTTGTTCTGTAACTTTGCATGGTGTACCTGGAAAGGGTGCTGGAGACATTTGATTTTAAATTAATTAAAAGCTTCATATCCTCCTGCTTTTAGGTTGCAAGACTCCCAAGAGCTTGTCCCAGGGAAGCCTTTGGGAGCCTTAGGACACAGAGGTGGGGAGCTGTTAGTAGTATTTTAATCAAAATAAGAATTGACTCTCCAGGCATTTCTGTCGTCTCTTCATTTTTTTAAACCATCTCCATACCATGCAAAGCTTGTGGCTGGTGACAGGAACCCAGTCTCCAGGACCATCAAAGTTGTCCATCTTTGATGTGGAACTTGCTTATCAGGTTGTCCTCTCCCATGCCAGCTGCTTCTGGCCTTTTTTATGTTCTCATGTTGACTTGCAGCAGAACTGCCACCCCTCTAGCTGTTACCTATCCTGAGGCTTGGGCAAGACCATAGACAAAATAATTAACAGTAAGAGATTATGGCAGTTGCGCTCCAGCAATAACCAGATTGACCCATATGTTGCATCCCTATTGTAAAAGGTGTACCAGTGAAGAGGCAATATCAAATCAAATCAAATCAAATCAAATCAAATAAATGTATTGTTATTGTAAGTATATACATAATATACCCATACAACGAAATTCACACAGACACTCAGAGACCAGACCCACATGCACACACACAAAAAATCCCCAAACCCCACCCACTAAAAATCCCCCACTAAGAATAGAAACATCTACACCTCAGGCTAAGTATACATCTTCCTACTTTTTATTTTCTTTGTTTCCCATCTCACAGACCCACATTTTCTGCCATTTGGTGGTCATACAATCATAGAATAATGGAGTTGGAAGGGATCTTTAAGGCCATTGAGTCCAACCCTCTGCTCAATGCAGAAATCCAAATCAAAATTTATCTGACATGATTGTCTAATTTTCTCTTCAATGCCTACAACATTGAAGCCCTCATTACTTCCTGAGGTAACTGGATCCATTGTCATACTACTCAAACAGTTAGGATGTTTTTCCTGATATCACCTGGTTTCCTGTACCTTTAACCCATTATTACATGTCCTGCACTCTGGGATGAATGAGAACAGATGCTGCTCCTTCCTCTGTATGACAGTCTTTCAAGTGCTATTATATCTCCCCTCAGTCTTCTTTTTTCAAGGCTGAACATGTCCAGTTCTTGCAGTCTTTCCTCACAGGGCTTTGTTTCCAGTCCCCGGATCATTCTTGCTGCCCTTCTCTGAACTTGTTCCAGTTTGTCTGTATCCGTCTTGATGTGTGGTGTCCAGAACTGATCACAGTTATCAAGGTAATAACCAGTGCCAAATAGAGGGGAACTAATATTTCATGGGATTTGGAGATGAATGCACCCTAAAATAACATTTGTCTTTTTTGTGCTTGCACCAGACTACTGGCTCATATTCAGCTTGTGATCTACATCCATTCCAAGATCCTTCTTGCATGTGGTATTTCATAGTAAGACATTGAGAAAATCCCACTGGTCATAGTTAGATGCATAATTCCAGTAAATGCGACAAGAAGCATTTACCAGTGACACTTCCCTCTTAAGGGAGAATAGTAGTTACTAAGAGCACAATGAATTCTCCCAGGGCTCAGCAGAGGCCTGCATGTAGGTGAAACTCACCGGCCTCAGTTCTGTGGAATCCCACTCCAAGTATTCTGCTACGTGAACCATCTGGTTGATAATACGATCCAGCTCCTGAGTTGTGAAGTAAGACAAAAGAAGGAATTAAAAATGCAGCTGTGTACACATTTTTAATGACACAAGTTTAAGTATGTGGCTATTAATATTGTTGTGCAATATAATAGGACACAAGACATCTGACATTGTTATGAAGTCTAGTGAATGTCAGCTACTTCTGTAGTACAACTATGTAGGATTCAGTTCCTTGTTCCTGATGAAGTCTAGTGAATGTCAGCTACTTCTGCAGGATTCAGTTCCTTGTTCCTGGGGTTGTGAGGATAAATCTGCTGAAGAATCACATTAGGGCAATAGCTAATGTCACTGACAGAAGAACAAAATGATTTCTGTAGAATTTCTGGTGAGATAACTGAGAGCTCAGGCAAAATATACTGTTAAGAAACCTGATGGTTAAGTGAATAGATGGAAGATTCCTTGGAGTCCTTGACATTCTCATCATTTAGCTTATTTTTGCTAATGTTTTCACATGCACATGAATACAAATACACACAGAGGACTGGCATCAGACTTCAGTGGGCCTCTGGCATATTACCATTAGTAGCACCAGGGTTCCTCTGTTCTGTGGCTATCACCACAAATTTCCCCTCCACTTTATTCTTACATTTCAGAAAAGGCTTTAGGTTTCAAAGCAGACATTTTAATTTCACACAATGGCTCAGAATGAGGGTATATCGGGAATGTCGCTGATCTGGCCAGATAGAATCATAGCACAGAATTGGAAGAGGCATATAAGGCTGTTCACAATCCCCTGCTCACTGCAGGGACCCAAAGTAAAGTTTATCAGAGAGATGGTTGTCTAATTTTCTCTTGAATGCCTTCAGTGTTTGAACACTTACCACCCCCAGAAGCAATTGGTTCCATTGTCAGAATGCTCTAACAGTTAGAAAGCTTGTCCTGATATTCAGCCAAAATCTGGCTTCCTGCAGCTTAAGCCCATTATTATACACCCTGCATTCTGGGATGATAGAGAACAGATCCTGCCCCTCCTCTGTATGACAGTCACTCAAGTGTTTGAAAATTGCTTTCATATCTCACCCCAGTCTTCTTTTCTCAAAGTTCTTTTAGTTTTCCCTCCTAGGGCTTGATTTCCAGTCTCCTGATCATCTTTGTTGCCCTCTTTTAAACGTGTTCCAATTTGTCTGAATTCTTATTAAAGTATGATGTCCAGAACTGGACACAGTACTCAAGATGAAGCCCAACCAATGCCAAATACAGGGGAGCTAGTACTTCATGGAATTTGGAGATGATACTTCTCTTAATGCAGCCTAAAATAGTATTTGCCTTTTTTTGTGCCTGTATCACACTGTTGGTTTATATTCAGCTTCTGATCTATAACAATTCCAAGATCTGTCTTGCATGTAGTATTATTGAGCCAAGTATCCCCCATCTTGTAACTATATACTTGGCTTCTTTTTCCTAAGTATAGAACATTGCACTCATCCTATATGTGATAGTGCTCAAGCCTATGCAGATCTTTTTGAATTTTGTTTGTTTTCCAGTGTAATAGCTATTCCACCGAATTCTGTCATCTGCAAATCTAATGAGCATTTCCTGAACCCTTTCATCCAAGTCATTAATAAAAATGTTGAACAGTATTGGGTCCAGGACTGAGCCTTGTGGTACCCCACTTGTTACATCCTCCCAGTTTAAGAAGGAGACATTGATAAGCACTTTCTAAGCACAATTATATAACTACTGTATGTAGCAAACTGTTCATTCTTCTATCCAGCCCACACCTAGTTAGCTTGCTAATCAGAATATAATGGGGCACTTTGTCAAAAGCCGTGCTGTATTCAAAATATATTACATCTAGAGCATTCCCATCATCTACCAGGGAGGTTACCTGATTAAAAAATGGGATAAGATTAATCTGGAGGTACAGTATTTCTTCAAATTCACGTTGGCTTCTGGTGCTTGCAGAATAACCATTTTATAAGCTGCTCTAGAATTTTCCCTGGGGTTGATGTCCCATGGCAGAGTGGTTAAATTGCAGTACTGTGATCAAGCTTCTGCTCACAACCTGCCTTTGATCCCACTACGTTCACGTAGCTGGCTTAAGGATGACTCAATTTTCCATCCTTCCGAGGTCAGAGAAATGAGTACCCAGTTTGACCGGAGCAATGTGTTGTTTGCATAATTACTTTGTAAATCGCCCTGAGTACTACCATATACGGTGGCATATAAATCAAATCAAAAACTACAATAACATGTCAGGCTGACTGATCTGTAGTTCCCAGGTTCAGCCTTTTAGTTTCTTTTGAAGACAAGGATAACATTATCCCTCCTCCAATCTGGCACCGCACCAATCCTTCATGATTTCAAGAAACTAATAGATAGTGGTTCTGAGAGTTCTTCAACCAGTTCTTTCAATATTCTTGGATGCAGTTCATCCAGCCCTGAAGATCTAAACTCATTCAAAGAAATAAGATTTTCCTTGACTATTTGTTTATCAATCTGAAGCCGCAGTCTTGCCCCTTACACTTGTACTTCACATATGATTGAAGGATCATGGACTGTCATTTGGGGAAAAACTGAGCTAAAGAATTGAGCACTTCTGCCTTTTCTTTGTCATCTGTTACCATTTTCTCTTTCCTACTGAGGATAGCTGAGATACTGTTTCCTTTCTCTCGCTCTTTTTTTTTTGCTATGCACACCCCCGAATAATGCTTTTTTGTTGCTTTTAGCATATTTTGCTAATCTCAGCTCATTCTCACTTTTTGCCTTCCTAATGCCATCCCTGCAATTCTTTCCTACTTGTCATGCACTCTCTTCCTTTGTGATCAGGTCTTCCTTCCACTTCTTGTATCTCTCTCTCTCTCTCTCTCTTTGTTTTCAGGTCCTCTCTGAACTTGATGTGAAGCTCACATTAGTCTTTTCTATATTTTATCTTTTTTTCTTGTTGGAATTGTTGCATTTCTGCTTTCAAAATTTCCTTTTTAAGAAGCTTCTATCCACCTTGGACTCCTTTTCTTGTTAGGATCTCCTGCCATGCAACCTTACTTATCATTGTCCTGAGTTTATTAAAATTGGCTTTCTAAAATCCAATATACATGTGCAACTACATTCTGCTTTTGTTTCCTTTGAAATCAAGAGCTCCAGTATAACACAGTCACTTTTATGTAGAGTTCCTCATACTGCCAATTCATCTACCAAGTAATCTGTATTGGTTAGAATCAAGTCAGGGATAGCTAGTCTTCCATTTTTTCTTCTACTTTTCATAGGAAAAAATTATTAGCCACACAAACCAGGAATTTCTTGTCAGAACTTGCCAGATATCAATAGATATGAATACAACTGAAATCTCTCATTATTACATCACGACTCTCTAAAATTCTTGCAATTTTTCCCAAAGTTTTCATCCTCATCTTCTCCTTGATTAGATTAACTACAACATTCCTTTAATTTTTCACCCCAGTTATATTAATCCAGATTATCTTGATGGGACAACCTTATCTTGATGGGACAACCAAGCTCATCCTGCGGTATTTCTGCATTTTTCATATATTGTGTGACTCCACCACCCTTTCTATTATTTCTGTTCTTTTTGAACAAGTTATATCCTCCAGTTGTTCTATCCCAGTCATAGGAGTCATCACACCAAGTTTCAATTATCCCCATCAAGTTATAATTATCCTCCTAGATTAAGATTTCCAGTTCTTCTTATTTGTTTGCTTTACTCCTGGTATATATAGGCACCAGATATTGTGTGATTTGTGTTACTTTTGTGTACATTTTTATTGGTCTCCACTAGAGCCACTTGCTCTGTTCCTCTTATTGTGCATAAGCCTTCATCTTTCTTTTACTTCTGAGTTTGTGCTCACTCACTCTTCTTATTCAATTTAAAGCCCCCCCCCGATTAATTTCTTTTTACTGTGGCCAAATACATTCGTTCCAGTCTTTGAGAGGTGCAACCCATCAGTGGCCAACAGTCCTTTTTCCAGAAAACAAATCAAAATCCTGCATATTGGCACCACCTTTGTAGTCAGTCGTTCACCCAGAACGTGTAGGTGTGCTGCTGTTATTCTTCCTAGTTAAGCCTCCATGGCCTGTTAACGCAGAGGGTTCCTTCAACCTGGAACAGGCTCCACGAGATCCACCAACTTTATCTAGAGACTGGTCAGATTGCTATTAAGTAATACATTTCTCTATCAAGCTTCTTTTAGACCATAAAATATTTCTCTCTCCACCCCCTCTGCCCGCCAGTTAGCATTGACTGTGACCATTTTAGCTGGAGTTCTGGAAGATATTGTCCAAAGGAGTAACATTTGTAAGTTCTGGTTGTATATACAATGTTACTCCTTTGTTACATACTCTAAGTTGTTACAAATGTTACATATATATACACACATATATATACAGTGGTGCCTCGCTTAACGATTGCCTCGTTTAGCGATGAATTCGCATAAC